GCCTGCTCAAGGGCTGGGACACCAGGTGCAGTCCAGAGGCTCCAATCTTCACCAGCAGGAGGTGAGTGAGACCTGTCCATGCCCAGCCCTCCAGCGGTGGGGTGGGAACACCCGCTGCTGCCCTGCCCCTGCCCAAGCCACTGAATTTGGAGATGTGCAGTGATAGTGGATCCTGCTTCTGCCTCTCGTGGGAAGTGGAGGCATCTATTAGTTTTTTTCATCAGAACAACTTTAGGTTGAGTCTTCTCTATGTCCTTTAACACGATAAAGCAAGTGCTGACTTCCACATGTGAAGAAGGTGATAGTTTCTTTCTAAAAAACGATCCTGATTTACACTTTTATTTTGGCAATTTTTGTGTGTGTTAAATTTGGACATACTATTGTGAATGCTTTTTAGAAAATATTTTGTTCTCCACTGTTTAGTTGTTTGAAGTGATCTCTTTTCTATCTTATTTTAAAAAATTGTTAGAACAATATACACAGCTCTAGTGGAATTCTGTATGTAAACTTAAATTACACTGGGAACTATGGCTATGGAAATATTAATTTTGGGAGTAAAGTCTCCTGGGAATGGAGTTGTTCTGCTGGAATTCTTAGGGCCTTTGAGCAGCAGTTTATGGGGTAAATATTACTAGAAAATACTTGTGCTGAAAGATGGTGTGAATAGAAGTCTTGTCCCTGGGAAGGCTGTTGGACTGTGTAGATGAAACTCTGCTTGGGTATAGGTCACTGGACTGAAATTTTGAGCTTACCTCTCCTGAGACACCTTGATGAAATAATGTGAACTCAAAATCCTTGAAATTCATGGAAGAAGCCCTTCTCAAATTGCTGCCTCTTCCCTCTGCAGACATTCCATGGGTGTGTGCAGCATTCAGTGCAGTCCCCACCGAGAGAATCTCCTGGCCACAGGCAGGTGAGTCCCTTCCAGCTGCTCTCCCCTGGTGTACCCAACCTCCTCTGTTACCTGAACATGCTGCTGCCTCTGCAGAAATTCCCAAGTGGTGCAGAGCATGTGGTCTTTCCTACCTTTCTTCTGTGCCCTGATCTGGCTGTGCTTTCTGCCTGTTTGTGGTGTGTCCCCAGCTATGACGAGCACGTGCTGCTGTGGGACACCAGGAACATGAGGCAGCCTCTGGCTGACACCCACGTGGAAGGTGGGGTGTGGAGGCTGAAGTGGCACCCCACGTGTGACTTCGTGCTCTTGGCAGCCTGCATGCAGAGTGGCTTCAAGATCCTCGACTGCCGTGGGAGCCTGGGTGAGTGTGCAGGGACCAGAGGTGCTCCAGGGCTGCTCTGCTGCGCTCCTTCACTGCCTCCAGCTTCATGGGGAGCTCCAGCTCTTGCTGGAAGGATTGACATGGTGTTAATAGCCATAGGCTTCTGTTCCAGTTTGAGATAACTTGCAGCTTTTCCACATCTGTGCACTCTCTTGGCCTGCTTGGTTGTGCCAAGGCCCTGTCACTATCTGTGTAAATGTCTCATAACTTCTCTTCACGGGAGGAAAGCCTTTGTGTTTGGTCTGAGGGCACAACCATTCTAGGTTTGTGTTCATTGTGATGGTTCAGAGAGGTGCTTCTGTCAGGTGGTGCTTTCCTGTGAGTAGGAGTCACTGACCTGCTGGGGAATCAGTTATTGCCTCAGGAAGGAAGTGCTATGCAGCCTGGTTAATCCAAAATAACATGAATAAGCTCTTCGTGTGAATGATGAGGTGCTTCCATGGTGGAAAAGCCGTTTGGGTTCACATTACAAATGCAGTCTGACAGAGGATGGTTGGCTTCCTGGGTTTTTCAGACCTTGGCCAGATTAGGAAATGAGGATGGCATTTCTCCTGTGTGGGGAAGGAAGGGACTCACTGTGAGAGTCAAATGCTGAAAGCTGACAGGAAGAACATCTGCAGTGTATTAATAACCAGGACCTGGCAATCTCCCAGGTGTGTTCATGGCTCAGTGAAGGTTGTGGTATGATCAGTCTTGTCTGTCTTGAGCCTTTGTAGGCACTTTGCATAATGATGCTCTTTAATCTCATGCATGTTAAACCCTCTTCCTCTCTGCTACTGACCCAGGAGGAACCAAGGCCATTGAGAGGTGGCTGAAAAATGGTCAGTACCTCATTCCTCCTGGAATGCTTCACTCAGTGGTGAAGAAGGGAATAACCAGAGAACTCTTCCCATGAGACACAGCCAGTGCTGGAATGGCTGCTGAGCACTCTGTCACAACCCACAATTTGATTTCTAAGTAATTTCATTTATCTTTTTTTTTTTTTTAAGCGGAAAACACAGAGGAATGTATCATCCTGTCATCCTATGTCCTGCACAATTCCTTGGCCTACGGGGCTGACTGGTCAAGGCTGTGTCCAAGGGATTCCTTGCCTGCAAGCCAGGACCTTGCTGCTGCGTGCCAGCCTTCGGAGGAGCTCGTGGGAGCATCAGGGCAAGGAGACGAGAGGCTGAATTTGCAGGTCCAGAACCTGAAGATAATTTATGAGTCTCCTACAGCTACTTTTGATGTAATCCTGGATGAGGAGAGTGAAAGCCCTGCTGTGGCACTTGCAGCAGGGACAGGGCCAAAGCTGGCTGGGGATCCTGGACTGGTCAGGGGCTCTGGTTTAAAGGGAGGTTTAGATTTGGCTGCCCAGGGGGCAGATCTGGGGTCAGCCAGTGGCTCTGACTCAGGAGCCAAGAGACCCAATGGAATGGGCCTGGACAGAGGCTGTGACTCAGCCAGGTCTCCAGACAGCCCCAAAGAAATGAGCATTGTGGCCACTTGTTCTTTCTATGACAACATCCTCCATGTCTGGAAGTGGGAGATGAGCCTGGTGACCCCTCCAGATGTGCCAAGTCCTGGATCTCCATCTGAAAGAACAGCTGAAAGTTTGCATTGACCAGTCCCAATGGAAGAGGGAGGAAAACTCCTGAACTGAGAGTGACAGCTGAACTTAATGCCCTAATTTCTGCTGGGCTTTCCCATCTTACTGCTGAGCTTGGGAGTCCTTCGAGGCCAACGCTGATGGGATTCCTGATGTTTTATTTTCAGCACAGAGGGAAGCCTTTGCTTAGAGGCCTGTGGTCATGGCCAGACAGGTTTTTATTTAGTTTCTCTCTTAATGTCCCAGTTCCAAGTGGAACAGCCCTCCTCTCACAGGCTGCTGCTTTGTACCTCAGATCTGAATCCTTTCAAGGCTGGTTTGCATTTCATAATGGATGTGTTAAGCCTTTCTCCTTCCCTTACAAACCAGACTTGACCGTGCTGCTGTGCAGACCCAGTAAGTGATCAGAAGGTTTCCTGAATGTCTCAGAAAGGCCCCTGAGCAGAGGCTTGGCTGTGTGATGGGAGAAGAGCTCAGACAGGCCAGATGCACTGCAATGTGCTCACGGTGATGTTTAACAGAGAGAAGTTCTGGTTCAGAAGGAAGTGCAGACTGTGTGATGGGGAAGTGCTGTGGGATCCTCCTTGTGAAGATCCTGGTGCTTTCCCATCATTTTCCATCACTCATCACCTGACTGCAGACTCCTTCATCATTCCCTGGTTCAGATAAATCCTGTAGTGACCCCACCATGTTTTAGTGCCACTCAACCACTCCATGGCCTCTCAGTATTCAGCTCATTCTTTCTGCTCTCCACAGAGCCACCTTTAGGTCCAAAGTCAAGCTCAGTTTTTAAAAGGTGAACAGCTTTAAGATCAAAACCTCCAAAAAGTATAAGTGGTGTTTCTTGACATCTTTTAAAATTTAAATATGTACAGAAACCAAAATCTTAACAGCATTGCCCTAACTACCTCCAGGAATGGCTGCAGGATTTCTCATGGTTGCTCCATTAGCTCTCTTTTTTTCACTGTGAAATATCAGCAAAACACTCTTTCTGGAACATTTCCTCTATTCCCAGAAACAAAAAACCAGCTTAAACTAGATCAGTAACTTTTAGCTTGCGTGGTTTGTCTTTGAGGGTCCTAAAGAATGATTTGTCTGGAGGGAAAGAAACACCAGCAACAGGTCTCTGTGTAACAGTGCTGCAACTAAATGAGGTGCAGCAGATGAGAACTTTGCTGCTTTGAAACCCCCTTCTCAAGGGTGAATGTGTATTTTAGCAAACGTTCTGGAGCACTGTTACATGAAGATTCATATTAGTAATGAAAACAAGAGCTTTTGCTAAAGAAAAAAACATGCTATTTTTGGATGTTTCTACAATAAAACAAATATAAGTGATTTATCTTTTTTTGGTTGTTTTGAGTTTTAAAAATCAGATTAGTTGCCAGTCCTTACGAGGATGTTCTGCCCTGGCCTGGCCTGGCTCGGGTTCCAAGGGGTGAATATTCTTTGGGAGTCAGAGCGGACAATCCAGTTCCCTGGGAAAACCGAGGGCGTGTCCCTGTATCTGTTTGAAAGCTTGTAATGCCTTTTATTGCCCTGTGAGAGCAGAGGGAACAGCCCGAGGGCAGCGCAGCTGGAGCAGTGACACCGGCTGGGACCAGCCTGCTTTAGGGCAGGCCTTGCCTTGCTCAGAGAAATGAGGTGAGCCAGTCAGCATCTGCCTTCACGTGGGGCGTGAGGCAAATGATGTGGTCAAGAGCAAGCTGGAATGGGCAGCCAAGGGCACAGCATCTCCTGCTCTCCAGCCCTGCATCCCCCTCCTGCCACCTGCCCTGGTGGGCAGCAAGGCTCACAAGGGGAGGGCTGAAGGGGCTCCTCTGCCAACAGCAGCAGAGCAAGGCAGGAAACAGCCACCTGTGTGTGACTTGTTCTGGTCAGCTTCCCAGGAGGTGAAAAATGCACAGTTCAGTTAGAAAAGCTGTGTCTTCCCCATCCCCACTGTGGCTGATCCCCGAGCACAGCTCATCCTTCTGAGATTGGGGTTGCAGCCCTGCCCAGCCCCGAAAATGTGGGGGCTTGAACCCCCCCACACCACCGTAAGGACTCATCTGGCAGTCCTTATTACAGACTAAGTGCTCACAGACCATCCACTGATCTTGCTTCCTTTCTCCCAAAGTGAACGCTTTCAGTCTTAATTTAATTTTTAAAGTTTAATTCTTAAACTTTGCAGTACTTTTTATTTAGAAACGTCATGGACCCCTCATCCTCGGAACCCCAGAGAGGGCTCTGCTCACCAGGCACAGCTGTCTCCCAGAGGAATCATCAGTGATGGACGGGAAATCAAACCGCAGATTTCACCAGGATTTAAATCAGATATTACAGAAGAACAAGGCAGAAAGATTTGCTTTAATGTTCAGTGAGCGAGCCTGTCCCGTGTTGGCCGGCGGTATCACTGCCCACTCCCTACCGCACGTAGTTCTTGGGGAAGAGCTGGAAGAGCTTGCCCTCCTGCGTGGGCTCGAAGCCGTACTTCTGCAGGTTGTCGGGGTGGAATGTGCCGTCCTTCACGTCCTTCTCGATGCGCGGAGCCACCACCTGGTCGAAGAGCTGCTTGGCCGTCAAGGGCGGCTCGGAGCCCTCGGGGGCGCGGTACGACACGTAGGGCCGCAGCTTGAAGCCCGTCAGGTCGGGCACGACGAACTCGGGCACCATCTCCCTGACGAGAAGGAACTTCTTGTTGCGGGTGAGCACGCCCAGCTTCTTGGCACCGCGGCCCTTGTTGTGGCTCCGCGGGCCGCGCTTGCTGGTGAACGGCGACACGCGGTCGGCGCCGCGCACCAGCCCGCGGACTAGCTGGGTCAGCAGCCCCATGCCGGGCTCGGCGCGGCCGGAGCCGGGCCGGTCCCTGAGGGCAGCCGGGAGCTCAGAGAGACCGGACTGGTCCCCGCGGAATTAGCGAAGCCGGAGCGAGTCCCGGAGAGCACCGGGGGGGCCCAGCGGAGGCGGAGCCGGTCCCCGCGAGCACCGGGGCCGGGTTCCCCTCACGACCCGGAGCGGCCCCGCGGCGCTCCCGCCTCGGCACACCCCAACAGCGCCCGCTCCCATTGGCCGGGCCGCGCCGGCCAATCCGCAGGGCCGATGCTGCCCCCGCGCGGCACGCGTGCCGAACGGCTCCCGGGGGGCTTTCCCCGCCAATCAGCAGCGAGCGGCCCTCGGCGTGGGCGGGGCCTGGCGCGGCCGCGCCCCCTGGCGGCGGCGGGCGGGGTCTGCGCTCAGCGCCCTTCGCCCCGGCCCGGGGACCGCGAGCGGGAGCGCCGGGACAGAGACCGGGAGCGGGGCTGGCACCGCCACCGCGACCGGCACCGGGATGATGGCGGGGGAAGGAGCAGGTGAGAGGGCGCCGGGGATCGCCGGAGCGCGGCGGCGGGACGCGGGCCTGGCGGGCTGGTGTAGCCCCCGGCCGGTGCCCGTGCCCGAGGCCCCGCGGGAGGAGGTGTTGTCTTGTTCGGAGCCCGTGTCCCGAGCTCTAGGCTGGCGAAACGGGGCCGGGAGAGCACCCGGCTCCGGCGGGGTGACCGTGAGGGTGAGCGGTCGGTGCCCTCCGTGCCCGGGCAGGGTCGGGGCTGTCCCCGGGCAGTGCCCGTCCCGCGGGGCCGTTCCGCTCTTGGCTTTCCGTCGGGAGCACGGACGGGTCCGGCTGTGCCGCCGGGCTGGCAGCTCGCCCACAGCCTCTCTCCGTGTGGAGAGGCTCCGGGGAGCTGCTCTCTGATTTCCCGTGGCCGTGCAGAAGGTTCTTCGGGAGAAGTCCCGTCCCGCAGCACTTCACTGCTGGGTTTTGTTGATGATAAAGTTAAAAAATTATTGTTCCCCTTGTGTTGTTCAAGAGTTTGCATCAGAAGCTGCGGTCATCTCTTAACTCAGACTTCTCTTTGCTTTTGTCTTTGCTCCTGCTGCTCCTCTAGACATGGATGAAGGGGACAACAGCACCAGCCTTGAGGTACAATATGTTTTGCTCTTATTTTTGCACTCATTTATTTCCTTGTGAGTGTTTCCAGAAGCTGAAAGCAGCTGTACCTAATTTGATAGCGTTGGGACAATATCTTTAGATACTTTTACATTGAAAGAGCCTTTGCTTCTGGGAGTTTTATCCTTTCAAACTTTTGAGCATTGCTCCCATTTTATTGTGTGTGTGTTTTATTTCTTGCAAACCTGTTTCATATTCTAAACTGTTTTAATAATGCCATGATTTAAGTACTTTCATTTTTATCCTGAAGAAGGAGGAGTTGCAGAATTCTGGCAGACTGCACTTCTTGCATTTGTTTTTAATCACAAATGTGAAACTCGCAGACCAAAAAGGCACATGATGCTTTCCCTAGTCGTGAAAAACAAACCCCATGAGAGGAAATAGTTCTCAAACTAAAAAACACACACAATGTACTTGTACACAGTCAACAATGTTTTGTGAAAATCCAGGTTCTGTAGTCAAAACAAGGCACGGGTGCCTCTGAGCTATGAGGAAGCCTTGTGTTTGGGCTAATCCCAATTTTAAGTCCTTGTTTTCAGGGCTGATAAGCCTTTCCCACCCCTGCCTGGCTGGAGAATGTGTCAGTGTTTGCCTTGGACTGCAGTGAGGAGTGGTTGGACTCGGCAGTGCTGGGTGCCTGGACCCTGGATGGGTGTGAGCTCACTTGTGAGGCTGCACGTTGGTGCTGGTTGCTGCTCAGCCTCGAGTTCTGAAGGAATCTCGGACATCAGGAAGCAGAGCAATGCTCTTTGTGCCAGTCCATGCCCTGGGCAGGTGACTGCTCCGTGTTCAGAGGCAGGGAGGGCCCTGCAGGGTGGTCCCACAGGTGTTGTGGGTCCGAGGGTTCCTTGGGGCTGGCTGAGCTGAGCTCCTTGGGGTGCTCAGAAAGGGGCTGCCCTGGTGACTTGGCTGTGCCCTCATTCCTGCCCCAGGAGCTGTCACAGCAGTCAGTGTCAGTCTCGGGTGTCTGCACAGATCAGCCAGGCTGCTTTGCTTTCTCTGCTTGTCCACAAGGATTGTCCAGGCTGGGAAGGATCCCCCCCGAGTCTGAGCAGGGCAGCATCACGCTGTCACTTGTGAGAACTTTGCAAGAACCTCTCAGGGCTTCTTGGAGCTCTGAGTTTCATCTTTCTCTTGTTGCTTTTCTGCACTGGGGCCCAGCCTAGGCATGTTTGTGTTTTATTCTTTTCCCCATGGATTTGTTTCTCCCCTTGCAGCAGCAATGTGAGTGTCAGTTGGCAATTACTATTTTTGGTGTTATTTGAGATCATGCAGGCCTGGGGAGCAGCAGAACTGTCCATGTCCCAGTGTCTCTGACAGTGTCAAGGGGAAATAAATGCATTAAGTGACCAGAACAGACTTCCACCAGGAACTTTGTGTCACCAGGTGTTCTACCTGTTGCTGACACATGTTCAGCTTTTTATTTTTTTCAAAATCTTGTGACTTTTTACTGCAATCTTGTGAGTAATGGTCTGATAGCAATAGTGGCAGAGTTACTTTGACTCATGTTGGGAAGATTAACATTAAAGTGCTAAAGTGACCTGAGAAGGCAAAGTGAGCACAGGGATCTGTGTGAGGTGACTGGTCTGGCAGGAGTTTCCTTTGTGCTGTAAAACAAATTAATTCCATTAGAGAGACCAGTTTGGTGACTTGCTGTGCCTTTCATTTTTCTCTTGGTGGCAAAGCTGAGTTCAGCTGTCATCCAGATCTGGAGCCAGGGGCAGGAATGGGACCTGAGCTGTGTGTCCTGCTTAATTCAAGTGCTTTTAAGGTTCAGGACTTAGAGGGGGATGTATTTGTCCTTGTACTCACATTGTTTTCACTTGTTCCTAAGAATTGTTTTTCCTTTTCCCCCTTTCTCTTAAGTTTTGGGTTGGCATTTGTGAGACTGTTTTAGGTGCCAGGTTTTATTCCTGAGTGACACTGATGGACACAGGTCCCAGGACAGCACACCTGAGCTCAGGGCTTCTGCCCATGTGCATCTGCTTTTTATATTATTTTAATATGCTGGTTTGTGACTTGTTTTCTCAGTCTCATAAAGTCCTTTGCATTCCATTCTCATCCTTGTTGCTCTGAATAACATAGGATGATTTTAAAGAGTGTTCATCTGTTTGACCCTGGTTTTGCCTGTTTAGGAATGCACTGAACTGACAGCAACACAAAACTCCCCTACTGATCCCTTTCCTCTGGATGTTTCTGTTTGCAAAGTGGGTTATAAGTCAAACAAAAACACAATCAAGTTGATTGAGATGTTTTTTATGGGGACTTTTTTCCAGCTGTGGGAAACTAATTTCACCTTCCTTTTGGTGCCAGGCTGTGTTCCCAAGAGGTGGGACCCCCATCCTGCAGTTTGTGGAGGACAGGATCCAGACCACCATGGTAAAGTAGAGCTGCAGTCAGCTGGCTGAGGGCTGGGGGTGCATCCAGAGCAGCTTCTCCTGAGCTCCACGAGCTCTGCTAAGCCACTGCCAAACTCTGAGTGTTTGTTTCTTTGCTGTCACTGTGCATGAGGCAGGAATTAATTTCTGTTATTTAGAATCCCAGGCTGGTTTGGTCTGAAAGGGACCCCAAAGCCCACCCAGTTCCACCCTCTGCTGTGGGCAGGAACACCTTCCACTATTCCAGGTGTCTCCAGGCTCTGTCCAGCCTGGCCTTGGACACTTGCAGGGATCCAGGGATGGCCACAGCTGCTCTGGGCACCCTGTGCCAGGGCCTGCCCACCCTGCCAGGGAAAGATTTCCAGTGTGCCATCTAACTCTGCCCTCCTTTGTCTTAAGGCCATTCCCCCTTGTCCTGTCCCTCCATGCCCTTATACACCCCCTGTACATTGAGTTGATCAGCTCCCAGATCTTTGGGAAGAAAAACATGGAATATTTTCCATGTGATCTCAGGACTGGTCACTGGTGCAGTTTAAACTTCTTGCATATGTGGTATTTCAATTATAAATTAAGTATTTATTATTGTGGTTGACTTTTAGACATCTCACTGAGCTCAGTGTTCTTCAGCCCTTCAAAAAGTATGTAGTAACTTCTGAAGCTGAAAATTATTAACTTCTTTCTCCCTAAATTTCCCTCCCAGCTGACTGGAATTGCAATTGGAGCTGCAGTTGCACTGTTGCTTATAGCGGTTGTTGTGTTTGTCGTGTACAGAAGAGTGAGACAGTCTAGTAAGTACTTGATAACCATGTAAGTTTTAAAACCAGTTTTTCCATCAATCTTGAGTCTTTTTGTAATTTTCTGTGGTAGTTGTTTGCTGCAGAGCTGTGGTTCTTGCAGGACAGCAGCTTTAAAGGATGGAGAACTTGTGCTGGTTCCCTCCCCCAGGTGTGAGCCCAGAAGTGTCACATGCAGGACCTGGAGGTTTTATTTCAGTGTCAGCCTCAGGACCAGCTGTGAATTCTGCAGATGAATTAAATCCTACTGTGATTTCACTGTCACAGATGGAGAAATGGTTGAATTAGAGGTTTCCTTGAGGAGATTAAAACCACCCAACCCTTCAGTCTGCCCAGAGAGCCCTTTATCTCCTCTGGGGCTGAGGTGGAGCCTCAAGGCAGCCCTGCCTGGGTCTGGCTTGGCCAGAGCTGGGGAGTGAGGGATCCCAGGTGGTTTAAACTCCAAACCCTGCCCACAGGAGCTGTTCTGGAGGCAGCCAAGTCCCCAAGCTGTGCTCAGGTGCTCTCCCAGCTGCTGAAGGTGGTTTCTGATGTGATGCTTCTGTTTCAGAACAACTTCAGCCACACGTGCCTCAGTACAGGTTTCGCAAGAGGGACAAAGTGATGTTCTACGGGAGGAAGATCATGAGGAAGGTGAGGGCACCTGGTGAAATCCAGTGTAAAGTGGAGAGATGTAAAGTTTGCAACACTTCACAGGCTGAGCCTGGCCCAGGGCCTTCAACCTATAAATGTCACTGGGATGTTGTGGATGTGTCAGAACTCCTGCAGTGCTGACTGCATTGCTGATGGAGCAGCAGCAGCTTCTCTTTCCGGCCAGACCTTTCCTCTTTGAAAAATATTTGCAGTCACTGAGGGTAGCAATAAATAAATGAGTATCTAACTCCTGTAGGGAGTTAATGGTTGT